TTTCCAAAGCAAAATACATCTGTTTCAAAAGTGGTTATAACGTATTTGTTTCATAATTTGATTAATACAGTTATACAAGCATATAAAGAATATTTCACATGTATCTTCCTTGCAGTTTTCAACTGTGTGAGGCAGTGCTGCTATCTGAAGAGCAGCTTGGGACATGGAGAGGTCCTGGTCACAGGGGACTCACTGCAGCTACACAGGAAGACTAAGTTCCAGAGTCCTGTGCACACCGGGGTGACTGTAACTCAAAGAAATTTTGTTGAAGACTTTAGTGCATGAAGTGTTTCATTGGACTTTTGTGAGGACTGTTTTAAACCTGGAAATATATCTGAGAATTTCTGTTGCTCTCACCCCCACCTTGTTAGGGTAAGGAGAGTCTTTGTGGTCAGCAAACAGAAACCTTTGCAGAGTGTGACCTGGGGCTGTGCTGATCACATCCTGCTCATGTGTTATTTTTGGTTAGCACGTGCCTGATGTGGTGGACATGGCAAGTCATCCCTGTCATGCCTGAGTGGATATATGACAAGCTCCCACTTACCAGGGACACTGCACAGCCAGGGGATTGCAGGGAGGATCCTGTGTGGTAGGGAACATTGAAAGTAAAAGTCCATAGCTCTTCTCCCAGGCCACTACATGGACACAGCTCCTCTGCAGAACAACTGATGGTAACAGGAAACTTCATGAGTCAAGACATAGGTTACATCTGTGTCCACAACAGAAAAGCCCTCTCAAAATAACACTAGGTATTTTTAAAGATTAGTTAACAGGAAATTATTACTTGTGGAGGGGATTTATAGCCTGTGTGTCATGAGAGAACTCACACATTGGTTTCCACACTGTGACTGATTATTTGCTTTATGAGATATGAAATGTGTCAGCCCATTTTCCAAAGATAAGACATTTTACCTCCTTATGTCCTTCTTATCAGTAACGACTGCATGAGCCAAGAAATCATCCTCAGATTTACATGGGTTGGGATTGTGTGTGTATTCTGCTCATTCTCCACACTGGCCCATTTTCCCATGCCCTTTTATAGCTCATTTTGATTAGACTGGCTATTTACATAGTATTTTGCATATTTTCATATCTCAGGACATATAGTAAGGAATTACATTTCAAGGAAGCAAAAAAAAATTAACAGTAAGTTAGAGATGTAGCTCAGTTGGTAGCAGAATTATCTAGTAAGCACAAAATCATGGGCTCCGTACTGTGAAGTGTATGAGTGGTGTGTGATGGTGCAGCCCAGTCAACATAACATGTGAGTGGTAACTGCAGAAGACAGCAGTTCAAGGTCATCCTCAGTTACATAGCCAGCTGGAGAAACTGCGTAAAAATAAAAGAGATGAACTGTTC